ATGATCCGGCAATTCCACTTCTGGGCATTTATCCAAAAAACACCAAAACATTAATTAAAAAAGATATATGTAGCCCTATATTAATTGCAGCATCATTCACAATAGCCAAGACTTGGAAACAGCGTAAGTGCCCATGGACACGTGAATGGATAAAGATGTGAGATACACACACACACACACACAGTGGAATACCACTCAGCCATAAAAAAGATGAAATCCTGCCATTTGCAACAATATAGATGGACCTTGAGGGTATTATGCTAAGAGAAATAAGTCACTAAGTGAGATAAGTCAGAAATAAGTCAGGAGAAAGACAAATACCATATGATTTCACTCATATGTGGAAAATAAAACAGCAAGAGAGTCCAGCCTGGTGGCATAGTATTTAAGTTTGTGTGCTCTGCTTCAGCAGCCCGGGGTTTGTGGATTCAGATCCTGGATGCAGACCTGCATACTGCTTATCAAGCCATCCTGTGGCGGCGTCCTACATACATAAATAGAGTAACACTGCCACAGCTGTTAGCTCAGGGACAATCATCCTCACCAAAAAACATAACAAGCAAACAAACAGCAACAACAAGAACAACAAACACATAGATAGAGAGGACAGATTGGTGGTTTCCAGAGGGGATGGTGGTGGGGGAGGGCAGAAAGGGTAAAAGGGCACATGTACCATGACAGATGGCAACTAGACTTTTGGTAGTGACAATAACGTAGTATGTGTGCATGTATGTGTCAGGGTGAGGGAGGCATCTGTTTGGTGTATACAAGGTAGTCAAGGTACGTGTGTATTGTAAGTAAAAGAAAAGCTTCCAAAAAAAGTACACCAACCTTCTTAACCTTGACTCTCTAGAGAATGGGATTGGGGGAAGAATTTAATTTGTTTTTATATCCATATTCTTTAAATTGTATTTAAGCTTGTAGCACCTTGTATTGCTATGCTTCCATTCCCTGCAGGATTTAGTGGAGATAAGGAGTCTCTTTTTATTTTTATTTTTTTTTAAATCATTCTTCAAAAAGAAAGGAATGAATCTTTAGGGGCAGAATGAAGATATTTCCAAATCTCTTTTGGATGACTACAGTTGCCATAGAAAAAGACAACTTTGAGCAAGATGAAGAGAACATTCCTGTCAGTGCCAGGTAAGCCCGCATCTGTGGACTGAACGCCTCAGTGTAACAGAGAAACACAACAGTGATCCTTCGATCCTTCCCATTCCTGTGGTCCTCTCTGTCTTAACTCATGTCTCTCTCTTCCATTTCTCTCACCTCTCTATCAACTCTAACTGCCACTGATTTGCTCTGTGCTGCAAGATACCAGAGAAAAACAAGTCTACGTGCATTCAGAGGTTGGTAGTTAAGTGGAAGTTGGTGGCCAAATACAGTTTGTTCAGGATGCTCATTTGCCTAAGTGTGGTCCTACACGCAGGAACAGAGCTGTGTTCTTCAAGCGTGTTTTCCAAGCTTAGTTCTGAGACCAGAACTAAGAGGTTCTGACCGAGAGGGTTTGGGAGCATACTGTACAGACACAGCTTCGTGGTCTTTACAGTCTTACAGCCAGGTGGACGCAGTGGGCTCCACGGCAGCCAGCCAGGGTTTGGATTCTGATTCTACCGCACTATGGATGTAGAACACTGAGCAAGCCATTTAATCTCTTAGCTTCCTTTGCCTCAAGTGCGAAACTATGGAAAAACAAGTCTACGTGCATTCAGAGGTTGGTAGTTAAGTGGAAGTTGGTGGCCAAATACAGTTTGTTCAGGATGCTCATTTGCCTAAGTGTGGTCCTACACGCAGGAACAGAGCTGTGTTCTTCAAGCGTGTTTTCCAAGCTTAGTTCTGAGACCAGAACTAAGAGGTTCTGACCGAGAGGGTTTGGGAGCATACTGTACAGACACAGCTTCGTGGTCTTTACAGTCTTACAGCCAGGTGGACGCAGTGGGCTCCACGGCAGCCAGCCAGGGTTTGGATTCTGATTCTACCGCACTATGGATGTAGAACACTGAGCAAGCCATTTAATCTCTTAGCTTCCTTTGCCTCAAGTGCGAAACTATGGAAATAATAGTATCTAGCTGATGAAATTGTTAAGATCAAATTAGAAAATGTGACCAAAAATAAGCAGTGAAGAAATGCTAGCTGCTCTATAATCGTTATAAGACTCTGACTTGGATAGATCAAGGAAGATCGTTTCCAGACAAACCGATGCTCCAAGCAAGTGTTCTGCAAACTTCAGAGAACAGCACATTAGTGAGTCATGAAATCAATTCAGTGGGTAGTAGTCAGCACTGAAAAAAATTGATGGAATAGAATAATAATTAAAAAAAAATAAGACATTGCACGTAAAAGGCTAATGTAAAATGCCTTGCTTACTGTGGTCTGAGGTCAAATAAGTTTGCAAAACAATGCTTCTGAGCAAAACAAATGTGACAACCAAAAACCTTCCCTGATTGTTCTCTCAGTGCTACTCAGTTCTGCCCCTTTCCTGTACAGTGAGCAGAAGCTAAAGGGGGATCTTTCTAGTAATGGGTGAGCGTCCTGGGAGGATGTGAGAAATCAGGAGGCAGTACTTAGAGAGAGTTCATTCAAAAATGTCATTGTGCGGGGCCAGCCCAGTGGCATAGTGGTTAAGTTCCTGCGCTCTCCACTTCACTCGTTCAGATCTGGGGCATGGACCCACACACTGCTTATCAAGGCATGGCATCGTGCCGTCCCACGTATAAAATAGAGGAAGTTGGGCAAAGGTGTTAGCTCAGGGCCAGTCTTCCTCCTCCCTCAAAAAAAGTCATTGTCCCAAGTATATGGGGCAGGGGATAAGGGTTTGTTAGAACTAGCGAGACCTAAGGATTTGGTTCTTGTATTCGTTTGAAACTTTTCCTATTATCTGAAGTTCTGAGAACTGTGACTCAAGGCCTTTAAGGTTCCTTTAATTCTATAAACCTGCCACTTGAAATTCCTACTGTTAGTAGGTAATAGAGGGGAAAATCTCATAAAGTTTAGTCTTACTTGGTGAGTGAAGAAAATGAAACAGTTTTGAATTTTCACTTTTCTAAAATCTTGCATAGCAGTACAATGTTTATGTATTTTAAAATGTCCATTTCTACTGTTTCTCCATGAATAATTTTTCCTCTATATAGGTTATAGTAGCCAAAAGATATGAAAGTAAAATGCAATAATAATAAAAAAACATATGGGAGAAAATCAGATTTAGAACTAGAATAAATTGCTTGGACTGGCATTTTAAGGGAACTTATACCCAAGGAACCAAGTTATCACTAACCTGTAGCATCTACTGGGTTTTTTTTCTGGATACCACTGAATATGGAGGAACCACTTATAAATAACCGTGATAAGATAACTGTAAATATTGCTTTTGGTTTAATTTATTTTATTTGGTATTTTCTTCTGTAATATTATAAGCCATTCACTGTAAGTACCTTTAGTTCCAATAGAATTAACCATCTAATATTAATCAGAAAGGAAGATTATTTGAGAATACAAGTCAACACACATAATGCTCCAGTTTTCCTCTTCGTATCCTGATTTCATTTGAAATTTGTCTGTAGTGCCAATTAGAAAAATTGTAGAATTCCACAGAAAGTTCTATTGGAATCAAAACCATACACTCTGAGTTCTGTGCCTATTACCCAATACTCAACAAATCATAATTTTGATCACATAGGCTAATGTGTATCTCTCAAGTATTTCTAAAGAAAAACAGAAAAAAATTGAAAATGTGTGTGTATCTGTATATTGTTAGATAGCTTAGATAAAGATACATGCGTATGTGTATGTGTCAAACATTTTTCATAAATATGAAGATTTGGTTTGTAATGAAATAGTGCATGTCTATTATTTCCTCCTGCGAATGATGCCTGCAGGGTTGGTGGTTACACCTAAGGGCCTCCGGGCCTGGGGATGTTTTGGGACTTGCATGGTTACATGGACTCACCCTGAAGATGGATACTGGAGAGGTCTTGAATTAGTATGTGATCACATCCTTAGGTTCTTTCTGTTAGACTCATAGACAATCCCTCTCAACCACTTACTCACTTTGAAACTCTGGTTGAATTATTTAAATTTCTAAATCTCAGATTTCTTATCCCTAAAATAGAGTAAATAATAACTTTAGACAACATGTTTTCCATCCCATCACTACAGGTGGGTCAGCAGACATATTAAAGAGAGAAACACTAAATCCAAAGGTAAATATGTTCCACATAGGTTGGGACAGCCATATAGTAGATTGTTAAATTAATAACCCCCTGATGAATCCAACTTTGAGTATATACATCCTTGCATAGTCTCCTCCCCCAGAAACTCTGAGCTTGGCCATGTGACTTGCTTTGTCCAGAGGGACATTTGCAAATGTGACAGAAGCAGACACTTGAGTAGTACTTGCACACTGGGGCTTAGCTGCTAGGAAAGCTGCTGTCACCACGTAAGAGTCCTGGGGTCTACTGCTGAAGAGGTCAGATGGAGGAGAACCATGCCATCCCAACCAATAGTGCTTGCTAAACACAGTCTTGGACTGTCCAGCCTCAGTTGAACTACAAGATGACTGAAGCTACATGAGTGACCCCAGACCAGACCATCAGAAGAGCTGCCCAACTGAGCCAAGCCCGATGTGCGGAACTGTGAGCAAATAAATGGTTATTTTAAGCCACTAAGTTTTGGGGTGATTTGTTCCTTGCCATAGAGCATTAGATGCATTCAGTTTTCTGATAGGATAAATCGTTTACACTATTGAAATCAATAAGTGATAACTATGAGTGACCAGTCACATAAATTAAAAACATGTACCAGTTGCTGATAAATGAGTAAAATAGTAAATGCACAAAATATAATCAGAAAATGGGTTTTAAAATGGAATAACAAATATAAAGTTGTCTTTGTGAACAAATTTTCTGTGCTGGATTACTACTTGTGCTGTATACACAGAAACAAGAAATACATATATATTTTTTATATATATATAATATATATGCAGTTTTATTTGGGGAACTTACTGAAACATGACCTTCTATGAAGCATATGCTGGAAGATCTTGCACAAAGACTCTTCACTTTGTGTAACGGCCCTGCAGGTGCACTGCACTTGCAGGACCGTCCCCAGGGTACCAATGTAAGCTGCTCTGCAGTCATCAGTTCCCGAGCAAGTGAGGTCCTGCCTGCTTACAGTACTGATGCAAGTCTCATCTTCGTAGCACTTTCTAGTCACCCGCTGCCAGCATTTTGCCTGGAATGTTCTATAGCGCCTCCTAGAAAGAGTCAAGAAATGGAATTAACCTCCAAATAACATTATTTCACATTAACGTGTACTGCTGCCTCACAAAATGAAAGATTGACATAAAACAAAGTGCCTCCTGATTGCCAGCACATAGCTGAAAACTAATTTTTTACATTCAAATAGCCCAGCAGAGACTGTGGAAGAAAAAGGAGAGAAACCCTCTGAATTATTCTCCTTTTGTGATGAAAGACAGAGGCTAAGTTTAGGATTCCCTGGGTGAATTTTCCTTCATTGTTAATTTTATTTCATTGGGTGATGATTTGCAGTGAGACCTACTTGGGAGATCCATTAGCAAGATTTCTTAAAGCAGAACATGGTTTCGTGGCTAGCATTCGGGCTTTGTCTCGTAGCAGGTGATTTCAGATAAGGCTCTTCACCTTTCAAGCCAGTTTTCCCACAAGATGGGAGGTACCACACTCTTTCTCAACATTTCTAAGCAGACTAATTAGAATTTACAAAATGTTTTGAGATTTTCTGGTAGCGAGAGCTAAGTTAAAGTAAAACATTTTGAGTTTGTGTAATGGCCAAGATACTCCATCAGAACCACATCCATTCATAGCTTTTCTGACTACGTATTTGATTCTTGCTTTACTAGCTTTGAATGAAAGTCAGGATAATGTACAATAATTTCACTTTTGAAACTTTTAAAGTCAGAAGATGTTCTTCCCAGTGGAACCAAGGATATTAATCTTCCTACTTAACATTTATCACCTAAAATTACATTTTGCCCTTTCTTGAATAGGTCACCATCCAACACGCGTGAACACCTTTTGAGTCATGACATTTGTCATAAGCTTACTTGCTGTCATGATGCTACTCTGCTTAAATCCATAAACCACATTATTTTCAATAATCTATTTTAAATCATCTTAAGGGATTCAGCTTTTAAATATAATGGTAAAAATTAATTAGCATATTTTAAAATTTATGTTTAAGGAAATACAACTTTTTTAAGCACATAATTCTGAGGCCAGAAGAATAAATAAGTTCCTTTAATGCCATTAAGAATGATATAAAAGATGTCATCTAAATGTAAGTATTGACAATATTAATTGTCATTTATGGGGTTGATAGAGAATAAATTTGCACCTAGGTGCCATTTATTCTTTTTTAAATATGCGTTTACTAAGTTTAAGTTGCATGATTTACCTCCTTAGTATTTCACTCAGAAGTTGTTTCATTCAGAAAATTAGTTGCGAAGTTTTGCAAAAATGATGAACTAAAGGACATTTAATTAAAAATTCAAAGATCATAAAAATACTTTGGTATACTAGTTACCTAAATCATTTAAAAATCTTTTTATATATGGCAAAAAATATTTATATTATAGAAATTTTGTTTTAGGTTTGAAATGTTTTGATATACAGTATTTTCATTATCTCTATTTTCTTGATCTTCTGCAATTTTTTATTTTGATTTACTCTTCAAACAATTGAGTGCTTAAAAGAATAATTTTAAAAATGGAATTAGTCATTTTGATTTATTTTTGCTATTTATTTCCAACACATTGCAAAATGTAAGAGAATGTCTGTATAATTTCTACACACAGAATGTATTATAGTTGCTTTTGTGACCTAATATGTAGTCAAACTCTGTGAATATTCCACAGCATTTAAAAGAAATGTGTATATTGTGGAGTTTTGCCTTTAAAAAGTAGTTTTAGAATTTTTTTCCAAGCAAATACTTTTTTTCACTACTTTCTTGAGTTCATGCACTTTAAAATACAATGTATTATAATTTTTTGTAAGTTTCTAAACATTTATAATTGGCAAAACATAATCTCACCTCCCATCTGTACTGGACAAAATTAATCGAAAAATGGCCTTTATATCACCTTCTTTGGCCTTTTGAAATGAACAAAAGAGTTCCAAGACCTATCATGAGTTGAAGAATTGGAACAGGGACAGAAGTTGGATTTTCAAACCCAAGTGCCCTACTCTGCCCCATGTACATGCTCTTCTGCAAAAAAGATAAGGGAGAAAGGGCTGAACTTCTGCACAGAAGAAGTGGTTTTTCATTTGGAGATTTTTTTCCATCTGAATTACATTAACAATAATTTAATATAAATGCTGGAAATCTCTCTAAGGCAAAATTTGCTTGAGAAAATCACAAGATTTGTCTTTTCACCTTGACTATTAATAGTGTATAATATTTCCATCACCTCTATTAAGTACTCTTAAGGGACTATCTGCACATAGTGAAAAGAAATCAAAGACACACAGTCCTTACTCTCTGAACTAATCTATGAAAGATAGAAATTACATAAGAAGATACGTGTATATCGACGTTAAAACATTACAGAAATTAAGTAAGAGCAAGATATTCAAAAGTGGAGGGAAATGAGATGACATCTTTTGAGTGCCTGTCATATTCAAGACCCCACACCAAGCAGTCTGGAGAGGCCGTTAAACCTAGGAGTCCTTGTGGAGGAGAATCAGAATCCCCAACTCTGTACCACTCAATCTGAAAAGGCGTTGATGCCAATGTGAGGTTAATGCAAAAGTGTGTGCTTCATGATCCACCATGGGCTTCTCAAGGGCTATAACAGCAGATTCCATCACTTGCCACTAAAATATGTAATTTGATAGGGAAGCTCCCATATATCATGCTCTGAAGGTTGAGGGCTACTAACTTCAGGATAATGAGGCAGAATACCAAGGGCCTGGCTCTGAAATCAGGTAAAACTGGGTACCCATCCTGGAGACATCTGGTGTTTCTGCAGGGATTGCTTAAAACAAATAAAAAAGGCATCCCATGCCTGATTAAAATGGTATTCGGTTTCATTTTTAGTGCAGATAGATTAACAGATAGTAATATTCTACTTGTGATATGAGAAAAATAGTATAATCAAATGTTTTTACCATATTTCATTGATTGTAAGAAATACCATTGTTTTCTTACAACTAAAATCATTTGTTGGTAATTAAATTATTGTTTAAATTTAATAAATGCTTTCTTGTCATTGTGCTTGACTCATTCCAAATACATTCGGGATATTAAATTTAGTGTAAAAATTAACATCTTAGAATCCATGAGATACAATATTTTACTAAATAAGGATTTTTAAGATATAAATGAGTTTGAAAAGTATAATTGCATTATAAAATATCTTTATTGTCAATTTTATTTTTCACTCAAGAGAAATAATTAATACACCTTAAAATAATTGATAAACATTTGTACGACAGAATCCTCAAAGATAATTTTCTTAAGAACTTTGGCATTCTATATAATAAGTTGAAGCAAAAAAATATGTCAATGCTCTAGCACTCTGCTTAGATCTTTCCCTTTTATCGTATAGAATGTGTGTTATAGGGAAGCAGTTGTCTTTTTTGACAAATGTTTGCAAGATCTGGAGCTACTTTGCAAGTTAGAACGACTGAGAGTAGTGGAGTGAAGACAGTTAAAAGGCCAAAAGAAAGCAGTTTACCAAGACCCAGACCCTTCGGGAAGTCGATAGCCTTAAATCTTTTAGCTCATTTGCCAGTGGTTGAAGCAAGGTCACAAATGTGACATCTTGCTCCAAGCTATCACATACTGAGTGACACCTCTACACTAATGTTTATTTTGACAGTTAAATGAATTTGCTATATATGGAGCTTTATTCATTTAAGTAAAATTAAATATAACAGTCCCTGATAGAAGGCACTGGGTAAACAAATTCGTATGACGAATTATCCCCAAAAGAAGCAAACGATGAATCCAAAAACTACACAGTTTAATGCTGGGTCTTAAAGAAATCTCCTTCAACATGGTAACATCAATGTTACAGGTAGTTTTGATTCATCTAATTTATTCCTCTGTCTTCTTTCCTCTGTCCTCAATTTACTTCCTCCATCTTCTTACTCTTGTCCAAGGAGCCCACTTAACTGTGAATCTCTTACCACACAAAAGATAAATTCATCGTGAATATAGAAGGAAATGTGTTAATGAAGACCATAATGAGGAATAGAAAAAGCCTGAATTTTGGATTAGATTTACGGTTCCCAGGAGGAGTTACTTGCAAAGGTACAGTATAGGCTCAACTAGCAGCCAGAGTGGAAGTTTTAATAAGCGAGCCAAATCATTGCTACCTGTCCTCAAAATCCTCCAGAACCTGTCCAGACATTTTACTCGGAGTAAAACCCAATGTTCTTAGCGTCCTTCAGGGCCCTCCATGATCGAGACCTGCCCACACCTCATCCAGTGACATCTCTGACCTAACCCCTCATTGCTCTCCCCGTTGCACATTCTACCCTCACTGCTTTTTGAACATGCCACGCACATCTCTTCCTCAGCACTGGCTGGTCCATTTGTTTGGTATCTCTTTTCTCAGTATTTACTGAGAGAGTTTCATTTTCTCACTTCTTCAAGTCTTGTCAAATGCTTCCTACTGGGACCACCCCATTTGCATTGCAAAACTTTCTGCCCATTTACAATCCCCATTATTCTGTGTTGTTGTTGTTGTTAACCTCCAGAGTGCTCATTACTTTGTATTATAATATACATTTTCCTTATTTATTATCTGTCTCTCTGACTAAACTATAAGCTCCACAAGGCAGATATTTTTGTTTCTTGCACACTCATGCCTAGAGTAGTAGTAGGTGCTTGAGAAAAAAATTTTTTGAACAAACAAACAAATGATTAACATTACTCCCCTGAGAATCAAGGTATGAGGTTGGGAAGAGGAGAATGGGTAGATTTCTGACATCACGTCATACGTGTGTCCTGGTAATATCCAAGCAGTACTCAAGTGAACTTCTTCCTGATCTCCAGTCTGAGACAGAAAGGATTAATGTGAAGTTTGAAGAGTCACCTTGTTAAAATTCTATGGTGTTTAGCAGCCTTAAATAATCATACCAAAAAACAAATTAAAAACCTGGCGTACCAGTCAAGTGTATTAATTCATTAGTCTAACTTGAATATATAATTTTGATAATGCTATTTCATGGCTACCAACTCCTGACATACTGAATTTTTTTATTCCAAAAACATCTGCATTTGAATTTCAAAATGCATGCTACACATGCACCACAGATCCAAAAGTATGCATTGTCTGGCCTTGTTTACATTATGTTGGGTGATGGTGGGAACTCTAGCTAATGTAATGAGATCAAGTGTTAGGACTGGACTGTAACAAATAAGGTGCCGAAATAAGAAAGTAAGGTATGCGTGTTTTTACTCACCTGCATAATTCATCATTTCGGCAGCTGTGAATTACATTGAGGCAAGTCGGGGGTGGAACCATGTCCACTGCACATGGCTTGCTGTGAAGAGCTTCTTTGGACTGCTGACAAGGTATATCAGATTGAGCACAGTCACAAAAAGCCAACATCTGGGCAATGTTAAAAGGCATGTTTTGATAGAAGAACCGTATGGCTGCTTGGCAATGTTTCACATCACACAGATTTCCATTTGCTGAGCAAGCCTTAAGGTAAGGGGCCAACTGTGCGTTACAGACCACATCCCCTACACACGCCTCTGCCACTTCCAAACAGGACGGGATCCCTTTGATTCCTGAAATCAATGATATGCCTGGGTCATGGAAAAGTAAACATAAAGCTGTACATACAGAATCTGCAAAATACTGTGAGAAGTCTATGAGCAAAATACAATGATGTACCAATGTGCTATTTTTGGCAAACATTACTTTTTTTGTTTTTTTTGAGTTAGTCTGAATTTCCTGAGACCCGAGTAGTGGGTTATTTGAATCATCTTTCATCTATGCTGGATACCCATTGTGATGCAGAAGAGATGGGAAGTGTGTAGCGCCAAAACTGAGCTGAAGGAAAAATCCTTGAGTCCAAGTTTCTGAAATGTAAACAATAAATCTTCAGAAATTGCATTTGAGCTATGCAGCTGATGGTGAGTTCATTGGTTCAAATCAACATGAGCCTTGTTCTGTTGCACTTTATATTTTGAGGGAGAATCTTGACTAAAGGCTCCACATAGTTATTTCAGCATAGAAAGCTGTTTATATTCTAGAAAACATAGGTACATTGTGAATGTCTCCCCCCTACACGCATATACTGTATGCAAAAAGATTTGGCCTCAAATGATTTAATTTATGTGATCAAATGTCCTTGAAATTTAACCAAGATCTAGTCTTTGGTTTTCATTGTAAAGTATTCCTCAGCATGATCATAAATAGACGATGCACGCGGGCAAAGCCCTTGCTTTGATAGTTTAGTGGAAGAAATGAAATGATTTTGTAGCATTTGGTAATAATAGAACTATTAAAAAGCCATAAAATTTATTTTGCATTGGTATATCTTTAAGAAGCCTAGTAACTACATTTTAAATTATATTGTCCAGTGCTTACAGTGCAGATAAAAATTACAATTTATAAACATTACCATGATAAGGAAGAGCAGTCAGATTCCACTTGAATTTGTTACCCTCTTTCATGTTATCTAGAAGGAAATAAAAGAGATTATTTCATTACTGAACAATTTTCTATCTGAAAGGAGAATGTGGGTGACATTTATAAATGAGTAACCAAGCAAAAATACATACAGGCTCATGTAACATTTATTTAACTCATGATACTCAAAATTAGTGAGGTACAGATGAAGAAAAATAAACCCCTGAAATATCATTCAAGTGAGTGACACAGCCCTGCTCTGAGGATTCAGTTACTTGAAGATTTAAACAAATGCTGATGACTAGGCCATGTGCACTGAAGTAAACAAGGAATCTGTCTGGGAGGAAGAACAGGAGGAGCATTGTAGGAATCAAAACACTCTCCCCAGTAGGGTCTTCATTAGATTGAAATATAATTTAAAGACTATTTCCACCTCTGATTATCTTAGCTTCCCAGAGTTCTTAGGAATTATAGTTACAGAATTGGAGAATCTCATTCATGGAAGGGAACTCAGTAGCCAGCTAATTCTAAAATCTTTCATTCAAGAAACATTAATTGAATCCCTACTATGTACCAGGTACCATATTGAAGACACAAATCTGTAGTCCCTGTCATTCAGCAATCACAGCCTGGTAGCAAATATAGACATATAAACAAAAATCAAAATAAAATATAAGGAGCACTAATAAACATATGCATAAAATGATGGGGTTTTGCATGATTTTCATTTTAAAGTAAAAATTAAATTTTTGCTATTAGCTATGGAGTAAGATATTGACTTCTGTTATGGCATAAATGTCCCTTCATGATTCCATTTGTCCCAACTTGAGCTGTCTATCCAAACTCCCTGTCTGCCTACCTACTGCACACATATGATGACACCATCACAAGAAAATTCTTTAACACCCAGGTATGTCACAGCCTTTCCAGACTCCTTACATTGTTCCATCTGTTCTCATCATATGCAGTTTTTCATTTGACTACTGATTAAGTCTCAGCTCAAGAATCACTGTCTCTTCTGGAGTCTACTCTCCTAGGCCTCTGAGGAAGCCTGGGATGTTCCTTCTCCCGTGCTATGAAATCCCAAGAAGCAAATGTTGGAGAGTGATGTAGTTTTTGTAACAGATACAAAAGTCTAGGCTAGACCTTCTATTATAGATTAATAATAACTCTGCTTTTGCAAATGACTGCTATGGCTGTGCCACTGACTGAAACATATTCAAGAAACTATCATTGAAACATAAACACTAAATTTACTTACTGTTATGGATTGAATGTTTGTGTCCCTCCAAAATCCATATGTGGAAGCCCTAACCCCCAAGGTGGCCGTGTTTGGATACGGCGTCTCTGAGGAAGCAGTTAAGGTTAAATGTGGTCATAGAGTGGGGCCCTGATCAGATAGGATTAGTGCCCTAATAAGAAGAGACATTAGTGAGCTTACTCATTCTTTCCCCTCCCTGCACAAACACCAAGAAAATGACATGCGAGAACACAGCAAAAAGCCAGGAAGTCTACAAGCCAGGAGGAGAGTTCTCACTAGAAACCGACCCTGCCTGTCCTCGATCTGGAACTTGCAGCCTCCAAAACTGTGAGAAAATAAATTTCTGTTTAAGCCAGCCAGACTGTGGTGTTTTGTTATAGCAGCCCGAGCAGACTGATATACTCGCTATGTGAGTAATTATTACAAACACAGCAAAATAGTTATTTTAGCATGAGAAAATAAATTCTGTCTTGTAGGTGTACTATTTTCTATGCTATGAGTAAGGTCTTATAATAAATTGTTTGCACGTTAAATTCTAATTTCATATGGTACATACGTATGTATATACATATTTTTCTCAGGGGATATTTTAAACATTAATTGCTGAAGAGATGCTAAAGGCTAATGTTTCATGGGACTAAATAGAAGCATGTACCAATCAGAACTTCATTGGAGTTAAAACATCGTATACATCAAAAAATATACACTGTTCCATCTTATTGATCCACTAGTATCAAAATACATACAGAATCTGGTATCTTCTCACTCTGCTACAACTCTGGTCCAAAATACCCAATGCATTACTCTATCCATCTCATCCAGTCTCATGGTCTAGTGAATAACCCCCAATTTACATCTACTGCACAGATCTCACTTCTGTATGTCATATATAGAATTTAGGCATCAATTCCATACATAGAACTGCCTAATATGATATCTTTGCTAGGATATCTAATAAACATTTCAGACTTTACATGTCCAAAACTGACTCCTGACCTCTCCTCTGTCCCTCACTAAAGCCTCTTCTTCCTAAGCTTCTTCCTGTACTAGCTAATGAAAATAATGGTAACCACATCCTTGTAATTACTCAGGACAAAAACCTTGGAGTCAACTTTGATTCCTTTTTATTTTTTTTGCATCCCATAGGAACCACTAATTTCAAACTATCTCCAGAATTTGATGACTTCCGACACTGGCCCATCATCCATCATCTTTTGCTGCATCATTATAAAAGCCTCCTAACTGGTCTTCCTTCTTGGGCCTTTGCTTCTCTCCAGTTACTTAACAACACAAAAAACAGAATTATCCTGTTAAAGATATAAATCAGACCATGACACTCCCTGAGCCAAAATTCTTCAACGGTTTCCGATATCACTCAGAATAAGAGCCAAAGATTTGGAAACAACCTAGGAAGACCTACATGATGTCGCCACCTGTTTTATTCCTGGTCTCGTCTCCTACACCTCTCTCCCTCGCTCCCTCAGCTCTATCCACGGTGTCCTCTTTGCTCTGCCTCAAACCTCCAGACATATTCCCAGCTCAGGATCTTCAACTTACTGTTTCTTCTGCCTTAAGTTTTCTTTCCCCAGATATCTGCATGGTTCATTTCCTGACCTCTTTTCATCTTTACTCAAACAATAATTTCTTCAGAGCAACTTTCTGACCATCCTATTAAAATTCCAAATCTCTCACTCAGATCTCTTTTCTCCCCTACCGATTTCAATTTTCTCCTTAGTGCTCATACTGTTTAAAATCTATATCTTAGAATCATTTACCCTGTTAATGTTCTCTTTGTTCTTGTACTGGATACTGTGGCCCACTCCCAAGATCCCCCCTTTAGTAATCTGGGTACTCATTTTCCCAGCTGCTGGGAGTATTGTTGGGTTATGGCTCACACTAGTCCTCTTCCAGGCACTGCCCTCATCCAAAGACAGTTGCCACACTCAAGGTTACAGACTTTTCCACTGGACGGCTCATATCTAAGGACTAGTTCATAGGAGGGGTTCAAGGATTAGCTCCCTAGCCTCAATGGGTTACATCTCTGGAAAGTCCTTCCAGGTCCAAGCTTCCTGTGGAATCAACTAAGTTTGCTGTGGCAATTGTACTGCATTTCAATGACTCCCCTCATTGAATCCTGTTTTCCTCACTTCCTTCTAGCTCTTGTTCCTGAGTCCTCAGCCCAATACATTTTGTGTGTGCAACTTCTGTCTCAGAGTCTGTTTCCAGGGAAACTGACTCGAGACACTCTTCCATTTAGCATGTAAACTCCTAGGGAGCAGTGATTTTTTGTTTTGTTTACTGCTTTTTCCCCAGGTCTTAGAACATGGCCGGGGACATGGTAGGCACTCAAAAGAAATGTCTATTAAGTAAATAAATAATCATCACTTACCACAGTTGATCTATTTCTTTAATTTTTAAATCCCCTAAAAAATAATAAGCTCCTTGAATGAAGGATGGGTTTTTTGTTTTTGTTTTTTAACCCTCCTGCACAAGACCTAGCACATTGTAAATGCCTCATAAGTATTTGTTCAATGAATGAATGAATAAAATTAACATTATGCTAAAACCTTTTAGCATTTGCCTCTTTCTTCACAATAACTTTTGGACATAGTCATAGTATTAACTTTTTATTTTAATTTTCTAGGAGAAACACAGGAAGAAATGACAGAGTTGGAATCAGAAATGAAATATTCTTTAATTAACTCAGATTTGGGATTATACTTAATGTTCCTAAATTCTTCTTTTGATACCAACCTGAAACAACATCCTGGTTGAATCCATCTTCGTAGTCTTCCTGGAAGGCTGGAACTTGGTTCATTTGAGCATCCTGTACACAAATGTCTTCAAACAAACTTTTCCAAATTTCAATGCACTCTACGTTTGAAGAGTCATTGCATTGACAATTCCACAAGATTGTTTCTTTCAGATTTTCTCTTAAAGCTGCACACAGGTAGCGTCCATCCAGGGTCTTGCATTGTTCTGATTCCCTCCTACAGGTTTTCTTAAACTTCTCATATAGTAGAGGGCAGTGTTCAGATTCCTGGCAGATGTGTGCTGCCATGACACAGTCACTGTTTTTCTCAACCATTAGTGATGTATCTTTCTGTTTGAGCCGTTGTGTGATATTTGATTGTAAAGCCAAATCTGAGGACACTGCTGATTCTTCTAGGAATAAAGCAAAAAAAAAGTTAACTAAAAATTAAATAAGTTCATTTATTAATGACCTTTAATGTTTTCTAAAAAGTATATAGACATATCTTTTATAAATATTCCAATATCTATTATCTTTAAAAATCATTAAAAAATTATTTCAAGAGGGTTGTTATAAATAATCTTGAATTTTTAAAATTAAAATAAAAAACACTGATTATTTACAGTGTATGTAACCATACAATGGTAATGTTCTATTTCTTTTAGTGATATTTCATTTTTATCATTTACTTTTGTCTTTTCATTATATTTTGGTGACGATTGGTAGAAATCATGTGTAACTTTAAATAATTATAATTCACTATTTCTCTTGCATAAATTTTCATGAATTTCCATTTGTTCCTAGAAATGTACCTACACTGAAGTTCTTCTCCACCTTTTTTCATTATTTCACTCTTAACAAATCTTTTTAGACAGTTTTTCCTAATTCTCCTACCCGCTTGTGAAATTTTAATTCCGTGGACATTCTGCATATCTGTTTAGGAACTGTAGGTATACCTTGTAAAGAGTAAGAGTTTTTTTGTCCACTCCCAGCTATCAATTTTCACCCCTTTGAGGTTATATGTCTCACTGAGAAT